ATAATAAATGCATGACTTTCTATGGGGGCGAAAAATCGATTACTATTATTATTACTATGAAATTTAAAAAATTTGCCCGGATCGGCATTAATCAAATCCTTTCCTTAACTGGTGGATCACGAATTAATTTCTTATTATAAGTTTTTGAAATTTAAAATGAATTATCCTTGAAGTGTTGAATGCGATAAAGAATTACACGAATTTGTGTTACTCTGAATCTAAATTTTGGTGATTCTTTAACAAATGATTGGAGCATTTGCTTTTGATAACCATTATTGAAATAATGTTTCTGTTCATTAATACTCCCACCCTGAAAATTATTTGCATTGTTGTACCATCAGGATGTGCAGTCAGATTAATCAAAGAAAATTTTGAGAATTCAGACTCCAAATATCTATAATCAATAAAAATTCCATGCTGAATCGTTTCCAGAGCAGTTTTCATGAGAGAGAAAAATCTTCAATGGTTAAATTGCTTCGACACTTCTTGTAATTGTTTTAACGTTAATGATGATCATGCAAAACAAATATACCAATCGTTTGTTTATTATCATGATAAAGAATCTTATAATAATTACCTATCACTATGCGATGATAAATATGCTCAACGTTTATGTAAGATGCTTGCACCATATTTTATACGTATATTATGGCTAAAATTTATTCAATACTCAAAATTAATTACGAATCGTTAATCATTCGAATAAACATTATTCGAATAGAAACCCTGATTCTTTGTTGCTATTACTGACCTATCGGTATAGTTTTCGGTGTCCTGTCTAGTGATAACTGTTATAAATTTTTTAGGAACCATGCCCATTTTGCATAATAAAATTTCGAGATATATTCAAAATCAATAGTAAAATACAGATCTTTTTTTCAAATCATTTCCTCGCTCCTATTGAAAAACCACATATAATAAACAACTGTTCCATCACACTTTCATAACAGTCTTTATGTTACCTGCGCCATATCATTGTATCTAACATCCTAATCAGTGATGGTATTTACTCCAGGGGTACTGTCGCGACAGGTTTGGATAAACTCTTTCCTAGAGCTCCCCGACATGGTTTCAGGGCAAGATTAAAAATATATTCTGAAAACCTCAATTCAGGACAACTAGAAAAAAGACTTGTTCTACCTATAGTACCAATAAAATCATTTTATTGTTATTATTATTATTATTATTATTATTATTATTATTTATTTCCTCTGATCTAATAAAATATAAAATACATATTAATTAATTAAATACATAATAAAAATACAAATATATAAATATATGAAATTATGATAAATAAATAAGCTTATAAATTAATTATAAAACGATAAATGAATAGGTTAAATATTATTGTAATTCTTATAATTATATTTCCGCCGGTAATTCCATTAACAATTGCATTTCAAATTTGATTACCTATCTATATCCTCTATTAAAGATAAATCACCATAGTAATAATGTCTTGATTATTATCAACAAATTATTTATAATTAATCATCGCCATCATTACTTTTGATTTCAACGGGTAATTCTATGTCAAATTGATTATCAATATCTTCTACATAAAGACACATATAGAGAAAAACAACATGTTATTATTTTTATTATTATTATTGAATGAATAATTATTACAACTACTAGTAATAGACTATTAATTAATAAATTTACTAACCTGGGGGTTTATCATCCTCATCAACTCGTTTTTCATCACCATCATTACTTTTGATTTCAGCAGGTAATTCTATGTCAAATTGATTATCAATATCTTCTACATAAAGACATATATATAGAAAAACAACATGTTATTATTATTATTATTATTGAATGAAATAATTATTACAACTACTAACCTGGGGGTTTATCATCCTCATTACTTTTGATTTCAACAGGTAATTCTATGTCAAATTGATTATCAATATCTTCTACATAAAGACACATATATTTAAAAACAACATGTTATTATTATTATTATTGAATGAAATAATTATTACAACTACTAGTAATGGACTATTAATCAATAAATTTACTAACCTGGGGGTTTATCATCCTCAACAACTCGTTTTTCATCGCCATCATTACTTTTGATTTCAACGGGCAATTCTATGTCAAATTGATTATCAATATCTTCTACATAAAGACACATATATTTAAAAACAACATGTTGTTATTTTTATATTATTATTGAATGAAATAATTATTACAACTACTAGTAATGGACTATTAATTAATAAATTTACTAACCTGGGGGTTTATCATCCTCAACAACTCGTTTTTCATCACCATCATTACTTTTGATTTCAGCAGGTAATTCTATTGAAAATTGATTATCAATATCTTCTATTTATACCAAAAAAAAAATTTTTTTTAATTAAAATAAAATCAATCCTTTTTTTTTTTTAATAAATAAATAATATATTTTACCTGGAGGCTCATTGTCATCAATATTATCAGGCAACTTAATTGAAAATTGATTATCAATATCCTCTAAAATAAAAAAAGTGCACATATATATAATTGTTTGTATTAAATTTACTATTTTAATTATAATTAATTAACTCATTTACCTGGTGGTTCCTCATCAACATCATTATCCTTAATTTTATCAACCTCTATTTTTTTTTCCAAAAAAATTTTATTAAAATTATTATCAAATTTAATTTTACATAAATAATCAGATAACTTAATATCGTCTTCATTACCCTCGTCATTTTTAATTTCATTAGGTAATTCTATTCCAAATTGATTATCAAGATCCTCTTAATTATAAAAAATAAATAAAAATGAATGTTAAATATTTTATTGAAAATTATTATATATATTCCTTCGTGATTTAATAAGTTTATATTAAATTTGTTATTTTAATTATAACTCATTGACTTGTTTACCTGGTGGTTCGTCATTACCATCATTATCCTTTACTTTATTTTTTTCAAAAAAATTTTTATTAAAATTATTAACAAATTAATTTTACATAAATAATCTTGCACCAACCTGGTAGCTTATCATCACCTTCATTGCCCTCGGCACTTTTAATTTCGTTAGGCAATTCCATTCCGAATTGATTGTCAAGATCCTCTAATTAAATCCGATAAAATAATAACATAAATAATAATATTAAAAACAAAGGAATCCTTATAAAGCAATTGATTTCCACCTGGTGGTTTATCAACTTCTTCTTTGTCAATATCTTGAGTATCGTTTTGGTTGCATGATTTACACTGCCCTTTTGATGTATTATATCTATTACAAACTGCACAAGTACCATATTCTTGTCTTCTTTCATCACTATAAATATCTTCTTTTGTTATAGATAAATTCACATTGTTTGTTGTTGTTGTTGTTGTTGTCACTGGAGTTGTCGTTGGATTCACTACCATTGCTGGAGTTGTTAATGGACTTTGGTTTTGTAATGGTTTATCCGAGTTAATTATATTATTAAGGGAATCATTACTTTTCAATTCTTTATGTTCATGGTCATCGTTATTGACACCTTTCCCACTACAACAGCTTAAAGTATTACCCATTGCTAATCTATGTTAATAAATAAATAAATAAATTCTTTTCGATACATATATGCTATTTATTTACAAATATATTTTACAAAATATATATTTTACAAATATATGTAACCACAATAGATATATTGTGTTTACGTGAAATAAAAAAAATTTCCATCTTTAGAATATATATGATAATGAGTTTTAGATAAAAGAAATATAGGGTTAGCGATTTAGCCGATTTATATTGAAAAAGAGGGCTGAAAATCTTTGACCAAAACTGGACCTTACCTCATTTGTTTTTTAGTGTTGAACAAAAAATTTATTTGGGAAGACTAGACAAAGTGAAATTATTATGACGGGACCCCGGACAATCATAGAGATTACATCTTTTAATGGTTAAAGCTCATATCAAAAAAAACTTGAAAATTTTAATTTTTTAAGATGATCCCTCTATTTAAAGCAATATTGCCGGTTCATTGAAGATCACTTTTATTATAAAATTAAAATGGGGTTTTAAGGGTACTATGATCTACAATAATGTTGAACCAAAAACAGTTAGAAATCTCACACGATCAAGTTGAATGGTATCATGTGTTTATTATATTCTTCCTATATAACTTTCTACAACGAAAGAATTAAACATTTATCGAACATTGCATTACATCAACCATTCATTATTTCTCATTACCTGCGTACATGCACTATTTCATCATCATATTCTATTTATTATACTCTAATTTTAGTAATCTATCCTTATCATTCATTAAACAGAAATCTGAAACGATTAATATATATTTTCCATTTATCATGCGTTAGAACTTGTATCAAGACATGAAGTCATTCTTATGTATAGAATCAACAGAAACTTTACCAAAATATGGACTTAAAATTGATAATTTTTTGTGTTTATTTATATAAACAAAAATTATATTGGTTTTACATTATAAAAACATTATATATATATATAGTCGTACATATAACTCTGTCGGGAACATGATAACTCTTTTCTAAAAATGGATGTTGTTCTTAGATGGAGTATATAAGTTCAATAATAATTTGTTCCCAATATATCTCGTGATCAATGATTGATTAATTGCACAATTATTATTATTATTATCATTAGAATTTGAAGAAATGCTGTTTTTTTTTCATGGCTTAAAATCATGTTTATTTTCAAACTTTAACAGATTCCTTTTACATCTAATATGTTCTATTAATCGAATTTGTATGGATAGTAACAACCTTTCTAACTCTTTTAAACAAATTTGCTAAAAAAAAATTGTAGATCGATTTATATGAACAATATTTTTTTTTTTTTAAATTAAAAAATTTTCTTGGTATATATATAATATATTAAAAGAGTTTATAAAAAAATGGCAAAAAAAGTTGCTATCATAGGTTCAGGTGTATCAGGACTTGGAGCAGCTTGGTTATTAACAGAATATTCAACAGACTATAAGGTGACATTATACGAAGAGAATGATTATTTAGGAGGACATACACACACCGTTGACTATATAGTTCCATCAACCAAGAACTGCAAAGAGCCAATAATTACACCAGTGGACACTGGTTTCATTGTATTTAATCATGTGACATATCCTAATTTACTAAAATTCTTTGAATTGAAAAAAGTGGAATGTATTGACTCAAAAATGAGTTTTGCAATTTCCAGAAATCAAGGTGAATTTGAATGGTCAGGACGTACTCCAATCAGTGTATTTTGTCAAGCAAAAAATTTGTTGAGCCTAGAAATGTGGCAAACTATTTATGATATTGTTAGATTTAATTTTCATTCAACAGATTTGTTAGAGTTACCAGATGATCATCCGGACAAAAAAATGAGTATAGGTGAATATTTGGATATTAATAAATATTCCAAGGCTTTCAGAGACAATTATCTTTTACCAATGACAGCAGCAATCTGGTCTACCCCGCCTGATAAATGTTCATTAGATTTTCCAGCATTAACGTTAATTCAATTTATGCATAATCATTGTTTGCTTCAGATTCTTCATAGAATAAAATGGTTTACTGTGAAAAATGGAAGGTAAATTAACATTCGTAAATAAATTAATTTATAAATCTATCTACATTAATCAACTGATTTTTTTTATAGTCGCAAGTATGTTGAAGTGATAGCAGAAAAAATCCCTGATATACGTTTATCAACAAAAGTGATTCAAGTTAAACGATCAGCAACATCAATTAAAATAATAGATGAGAAATCTAATTGTGAAGAATATGATCATGTAATATTTGCAACACATGCAGATCAAACTTTAAAAATACTAGGCGATGAGGCAACTGATGACGAAGTTGATGTTTTGGGCGGTGTAAAATTTAATAAAAATAAAGCAGTTTTACATTGTGATTTAGAGGTAACAACAACAACATTATCATCGTAAACTAACTCGATAGTTAATAATAATAATTATTTATTTTTTAGTTTATGCCAAAAAGAAGATTGGCATTTTCTTCTTGGAATTATCTTACCAAATCCACAGGAAATTCTAATATTAATGAAGTGTCATTGTATGTAAAATATGTAAATGCTAGATTTATAGTGATGGTCGATCAATTGATATTGATATTTTAATTATTTTCTTCTTCATTATTATTAGAACTTATTCAATGAATATTTTACAATCTATTGATGAAAAAATTTATGGGCCTGTATTGGTGACATTGAATCCATTGGATGAAATAGATCCTAGCAAAGTTCACGGTGAATGGCATTATGAACATCCACAATATTCACCTGAAACAATCAAATCCCAACAAAAACTTTACAAAATACAAAATCAACCAAACCTACATACAACTTTTGCAGGAGCATGGACTAATTATGGATTTCATGAAGATGGGTTCACATCAGGATTAAAAATTGCTAAAGAACATTTTGGTGTTGAGTGCCCATTTGAAATTATTGATGCAACCTATATTAGAGGTAAAAGAGCCGAATTGAGTTTTATTGGCAAATTACAAAAACATTCATGGATTGGATTTGAATTATTTATTTCATTTTTATGCCATTTGATTAATTTCTTTTGTATTTTAATGGTTATGTTAATTGAAAGTTTAGAGCAATTATATTATAATATTAGTCATGATAAACTTAATAATAATAATATTAAGGAAGATTAAAAAATAAAATATCTAATATTTAAAATATTTATTTAAGAATTTGCAGTTTCAAGTAAATTCAATTTCCGTATTCTCAAACTGCTCTCATTAATTTCTGCATCATAAAGATCCCGTAATAAATTGTTACATTCTGTCAATTCTTGAAACTCTTTTTTGATATCATTACATAGATTTTGAATAGTGTCAGCAATATTTTGTACCTAAAAGAAAAAAAACCCATAAGTATTTCTTGAAATTCTCAAGATATATATAAACATCAATGTATAAACATTAATTACCAATAATGATGATTCTGACATATTTGAAGTTTGTGGTGATAATAATTCAGATGCTACATTTAGACAATCATCTATTTCTTTTGTCAATTCAGCTAAATTATCACATGGAAATATTGTGAAAATAATATTATTATCTTCTCTCTCTACCATTCTTTCATCAATTTAATTTCCAAAGTAATAAAGTTAAAAATATTTTACCCAAATCTACTGTTAATATATTAATTATTGGCATTGCTGTTATGGTTTTAGACAATGATGACACAAACTCGACATAATTTGGTTTAAAATTTTCCAAATATTGAATAATATTTGTCAATATATTTTTCTATCAATTAACAAAAAATGCATATTAACAATTGAAATAATTATATGATTTATTATATAAAAAGGATTTAATATATATTTTAAACCTGAAATTCTAAAGTTTCATTTATATTAATAAGATCCTTTTCCAATTCAAACTTTCTCAAACTATTTATTAACCCAACTCTCTTTTCATATAGAACCTTCCAGGCTTGCAACAATTGTGATTCAACAGATAATTTTTGATTTTCAAATGCAAATTCATTATTTACATTCAAATAACACCATTGTATCAATCTTGCATTTAACATCATTAATTCGTCTTCATTTTTATTTATACTTGAAGCAACAATTTTGGTGATTGTAGATTTAGTTGGTGATGATGATTCTTGGTTTCTGAGAAATAAATACAAATACACTTTAATCAAGTTGCCAAATATTAAATTAACCCATCGAATATAAAACTTACACATCGATTTTCCTATGTTTAATTACGTTGACAATATTTTTTTCTTCGCTTCGCTTTCTTCTGCAACTGTTCATTTTATGAGCATAGCTAAAAATCCCATTTATTGTCTATTTGCTTATGTCGATCAAATTAATTCATAACTAACTAAAAGATCGACAAATTATAAAACGACGCGACATCATGCGCCTAAAGCAAGATAATTAATTCTATTAATGTTAATATTTTTCTTTTCAGGGCAGATGGTTATATTTCCAGGGTAGAAACTAGAGGTTGGCACTGTTAACCGTTTAACAAGAACTTAAACGGTTAACATTAACATTAATAATATTATGTTATTTAATTTTGATAGTGACCGATTTACCCCACCCTTAATATTAAAGATGGCCAATTATTTTGGAAGTGTTGGCTGACCAATCGTTACTATAAAGCAATTAATCGATTATAGATGATCTGTACCATAGATATTTATTTATGTTAGTATTATATGAATGCAGTAAAGGAAAAAGTGTTTGTCCAATAATTGTGTTGTTAACACAATCAAAAAAAGTCAAATAGAGATTAATTTTGTATTAAAAACACTGCATATACAAGATTATCCATTATGATACAGACTCGCTTAGTATTAAAAATTTCAATCAAGGATTCCAAATGTTTTTGAAAGACTGTAGAGTAGATACAATTGATGTAATGTGGGATGTTCGAGGAATTGTTCATCCTTCTTTAAGATTTTTTTAAAAAAAGGAGGCAAACTCTTCACTTACAAATTGAATTAAATTTTTTATTACTTCTTTTTTAGATTCTGCAGAAGTGTTTTTGCTGATTTCCTTTTCATTGATTATTTTCATGAACTCTTTTTTGAGCTAGATAGTTTTTTTCCACCACAATGAACATCCACTGTTGATTTACGACTCCATTCTATAGAAGAATGGTCACAATAATTACAGAATAATTCACATTAAAATCACCAGGATTTTCTTTTTACTACCCTAAAGAAAATTATTTCGCAAGTTTTTACTTAAGACAAAAATAATCATTTGTATTTTTCTCACCAAAAAAATCTATACAATCTATGCAGACATGTTTATCTTTCAGATGTTTTTTGAATACAAACAAATGATTTATTAACGTTATTAGTTAACGAATTAATTAACAAATTCGATTAAAAATTGTTTCACAAAATTTGATCGCCAAAATTTTTTATATGAAAAAACATTTTCCCACCACTAAACAATTCAGAATTAATTCATTATTGCCAAAGGAATCAAAGAAGACGCATAATAAGTTGGAATTAATTTCCTTGTTATTAAACGACCATGCCTTTTTTGAACATGTGAAGAAAACACTCACCGCCACTAAATAACGCAGCAATTCAGAATAATTCATCATTGTCAAAGGAATCAATCAAGCTTTTTTCGAAGACTTTTTCTAATTTCTTATTGTTAATATTTAAACAATCATGCCTTTTTTTGAAAATGTGAAAAAACGTAACGATTCGAATTATTAATAATTCATATTTTTTTTTTAATTCTCTATTAAAAAATTCTATATAGGGCGGTTTTAGAAGAATATAAAAGGTTAGAAGCTATGAGTGTTACAAACTAACATTAATTTTCAGAAATAAAACAAAAAATTCCATATTAATATTAAAAATCTTGTTTACATATAAATGATAGCAATATTAGTTCATGATTCATTTATGATACTATTTTTTTTTTAAAGTTAAGTGTGGTTTTTTGAATCATCATCCCTGCTTTTGGGTAATAGTAATAATAAGTGAATTACATATTAATATGAAAATAGTTTATAACTCAAATTTTTAAAAGTAAACTGATATAAACAAAGCTTAGGTCTTTAGCTTTAATTCTGTCAGTTTACTTTTTCAAAATTTTTTTCTTTGGGGTATAACCTTTAAGAGTCAGGTGATAAAATTGGTGGTTATAATAAGAAAAAAAATTTATAGATTTGGAATGTGTAATGTTATAAAATTTTTGTAATGTTTTTTTTTATGGATGATTATGATGTATCTAATGTATCAATCAAAGTTGGAACATGTGCAAACAACCTAATAGTATTATGTGGAGGTTATTGAATTGTTAAAAATAAAAATGGATGGGAGACATTATAAAGCCATCAATATCATTAACCATTATGAATTTTGATCCCTGAAATTTCTTTGTGGCATAATGTTCACTTTCTCATTAAATAGAGAATTTTAATCAATGCACTTTCACAACTAGAGAAAACAATATTATATAATATATAGTATTTGGTTGATTAAATAAAATTTATTATTTAACCAATTAATTGACTGACTATATATATTATAATATATGTAAGCATTTTCAAAATCTTTTTATTTTTATTTATACATATTTATATATGTCAAGAGATTGCTTTATTATCTTTCCAAACACTTCCATCATCGTAAATTTCTTTTTTCCAAATTGGTGCTTTATCTTTCAATTGATCAATCAACCACTCAACTGCATGAATTGACTCATGCCTATGAGTGCTTGAAACAGCTATTATAACACTTGTTTCACCAACAGGTACAGTATTAACACGATGATAAATTGCCACTTTTATTAAATTCCATTTTGATCTACTTTCATCAATCATTGACAATAAAATCTTTTCTGCCATTGGAATATATGCTTCATAATCCAATTGGATAACTATTTTATCTTTTAAAAAAATTTTAATTAATAAATTGTTTAATTTACTATTTATATTTATTTATTATATTTATATTTATTTACTTGGTTATACCTTTAAAAGTATTACGAGTTGTTCCACTAAAAGTAGTAATAGCACCTGCACTGTCATCTTTTACTAAATCTACAATATCTTGAAGAATAAGAGGTTCAGGTGTAATCTTTACAAATTTATTTTCCATCACACAAGAAAAGAATTATCTAAATTTGATAAAATCAACTGCTGATCTCTTTTTAAAATTTGCGACAATAGTTTTTCATAACTGGTGATCAGGTTATTCATAATATAACCCGGTCATGTCCAAGGACTGTTATCAAAAAAAAAAACTAAGAAAATTCAAATTTATTTTCTCAATCATTCGTATATATTTATTCGTTAACAACTCTATTTAACTTTAAAAAGGAGATTTTTTTCATATAGAATTTGTTTAAAAAAGGAATTTTTCGAAAAAAAAAAAGTGTTACGAAAATGATTGCGTTGTGTATAAATAAATATATATATATATTGATATAGTAGTTAAAGTTAACGTTAACGTTAACGTTAAGTTAAGCGCTGCCAAAAAAATTTTTAAACGGATGGAAGAAAAGATGTCGGACCAATAAAAAAAAGCTTAAGCTGACTATGAATTACATCCCTTCCGTCTCTTTGATTTATATAATGATAGATAAACTTATATTTAAATAATTAAAGCCACCGTTAAATGTTTCAACATTTTAATTAATTTATAAAAATAAACTTCTTAAATAGAATTAAACTTTAGTTTAAGAAATGCATTCTAAATTCGAGTAATAAAAATGAATATAAACTGAAGGAATGTTAATTGATCAAATTCATAAAATATTCTTTCGTTAAAAAAAAAACATATCATCCATTTTTTTATCTACGTGCTTCATTAAGACCATCTCTTCCACTGACAGTGTAATTAGTGGAAGCCAAAAAATTGAATCAAATTGCTGGCCATTTGTGCCATATATAAAACAAGCCCAACCGCGTTGTTGAGAACATATTTTCTGAAGGACAAATATACATTGCAATGAGCCGAGCTCCTTCGTTAAAAAACTTGCATATTCTCAGTTTTGACTCTGCTCAATTAAAGGTCTCTAGAGCAGCATTAGAAGAATATAAAAGATAAGACGGTAAAAAAAAATTAATTTATCGTGTTATGGAACAAATCAATCTTTTCTACTTGCATTTGTAAATTTTTTTTTGCAATATATATTTTTTTAAAAAAAAGCAAGCTATTTAATATTAATATTTAGTGTTAATTGACGTTTACTGCTCCCAAGAAGAAAAACAATCCGTCGTTTTGTCCTGTTTTTGTTTTATTATTATTGCTTTGTTTATTATATTAATATTAATATTAATATTAAAATACAAATAAATTCGTGTACGTGCCTCCGCTCATTCATTGTTTTATCATTGATTAGATTGCAAATATCACGATCACACAAATTATTTTCATTCTAAAAAAGAATAATGATAATCTATGATGTGCCATAATGGACAAAAGTCCAATTGTTAATTAGGTCAATATCCAATTATAATTGGTTATAAATAATTATTAAATGGTTATAAATAATTATTAAATGGTTATAAATAATTATTAATGGTTACAAATAATTATTAAATGGTTATAAATAATTATTAAATGGTTATAAATAATTATTAAATGGAACTAACTAATTATTAAACAGGATTTTTACATGGTCTTGGCTAATTATTAATTAGATTTTAATCAAGCATTAATTGGATTTTAACCAAGCATTAATTGGATTTTAACCAAGCATTAATTAGATCTTAACCAAGCATTAATTAGATCTTGACTAATTATTAACTGGATCTTAACTAATTATTAAACTAATTATTAATTGGATCTTAACTAATTATTAATTGGATCTTTAACTAATTATTAATTGGATCTTTAACTAATTATTAATTGGACCTTTAACTAATTATTAATTGGACCTTTAACTAATTATTAATTGGATTTTAACTAATTATTAAATGTACTTTTGTCCATTACGGCACACTATCATATGGCAGACTTTGTAAAAAAAAATAAACAACATATTTTGTTTACTTTTCTATTTTGTATCTTAATGATGAGTTTACCATTAGTATTAGGTAAATGCAGGCATAGCAACAACTGCACCTGCCAAAGATTTAGAGCCAAACCTGATGACGAACTAATCTGTCTCTATTGTTCACATTATGATGGGTATCACGAAACAAATTCAGTCGGCACATCCCAAATTAGTAATGTAGAAACTTCTAGCATATTTAACAGTCTAAGACCTCAAAATATTATTCCTCTGCAAATTAGTCAAAATTCGAATAATAAATTTAAAAGAAAAAATATAAGTCTGTTTACAATGTAGTAGGAAATGTTCAAAATATTTCAAGTACTAATCAAAATGGCAGACCATCGTCAGACTCCTTGAAGGTTAATACAATTGTCTTGTTACCAAAAATGGATGCCCAAGTTATACCTAAAGAAAAAAGCACAACGTGGAGCCATCTTCAAGAACATAATTTAATTAAATCCGATGTAATATTAACCGGGGATGAATTATCATTAACAAGTCAAATTTATGAATTTTTTCCTATACTAAATCAAAGACCATTTAACATTTTGAAAACGAATAATGGAAAATTAAATATTGTAGAAACTAATGTAAGCATTTTATTGTCAATGTGACAAAAATTTTATAATAATAATTTCAGTATAGTACATACTTTTTACTCATTGATAAATAATATATATAATAATTATTATATAGGAAAAATCTATTAAACTATTCAGGGAAAATATGAGTAAAAACAAACGTAGAATTTATTTAGGTAATTCTTAAATCTTTTTTAATCTTTTTTATCAATTAATAATTTAAATAAAATATTAATGCATATTTATATAGCTCCGAAACAATTTAATATAATTATTGATTCTGATGATAATCCAAATACAAACGACATTAATAATGATCCAATTAATAATAATGTTGATAACATTGATGATAATGTCCAAGAAGTTAATTACAACAATAGTAAGTACATACTTTTCATCAGGGAAAAAAAATTAAAATCATATATATATATTGTTAATTAATTATCTAAAAACCATCAAGTTTATTTAATAGATAACCAGTCAGGAAATCTAGACATTCAAAATAATGACATCAATGAATTTTTAGGTAATTAAAAAGTTATTCAAGATTTTGATTCTTTCTGATTGCAAAACAAATACTTTTTTAATAAACTTGTTGTGATTATTATTTTTTATAATTAGAACCCCATAGAGTTGAAGATGGTAAATAAAATTATTGTAATTAATAATTAAATCATTAATTTTTATTAAATTAAAAATTTTATATTTTTAGGTTCATTTGTTTTGCCTTCTACTAATGTTACTGGTATATGATTTTTTATTCTAAACAAATAAATTTGAATTCACTTTTATTAATATTAATTATATAAAAAAATTTAGAATTTTCTTTGTCGTTAATAGAATTCCTCAATGAAAAAAAAAGTGAAACACAAAATCATGATTATAAATCAATAAGGATTTCTGACAGAAGGAATTTATTTGAAGAATTTAAAAGAGAAATAAAATGTTATACTGAATTGGATTTCATTATAAAGCCAACTATATATTTCATAAATGAGTATATATAATTAATTTTTTTTAAATGGTTTTTTTTATTAAATAATTATTAAATAATTTTTAATTAAATTACTTTTTTTTTTAAAGACCTGGAGTTGATACGGGTGGAATATTCATTGACACTTTGCAAAAATTATTTGAAATATTCAGTGACTTAAAAGACCCCATTTTTGGTGGCAACAATAGACTATTCCAAGGTGAATACACCAAAACATTAAGTAGTACAATTCCAGTTGATTTTGCCGATGATTTAAAAGTAAGTTTAATTAAGAAACATAACATATTGATGATTATTTTTTGTCCTAGTCAATAAAATATTATTTTAAAAATTTTGTAGATTTTTGCAAAGACATTATTCTTAACAATATTGCACAATGGGCCATTTCCAACATGGTTAGATACGTCCGTTATAAAATTTGCACTTGGATACGAAGATGAAATCAATTTTGAAGACCTTTCGAGAGTAAATATTCATATATACAATTTGGTGGAACAACTAAACTCATCTACACCAGGATATGATCTTTTAACTATTCCTGAATTTAAAATCTGGGCTGAGCATAAAAATCTTACAGTATGTATTATTTAAATTTCATTAAATTTTTTTATTGTTTATTAAAGATTCTAAGCTATACATATCTATTTATTTTAATTTTAGGTAAAACAATGTGAGATTTTTTCGAATAGTCAAGAATCATTAAATAAATTATCTAGGTCTTTATGTGAGGATATTCTTGTGCAATCATGCCTTTGTCAGTTAAACATCCTAAAAAACCAAATGAATCAATTGGGCTTCGTTAAAGTATATATTGTTAATTATTTACTAGCTTTATAAAAAGAATCATTAATAATTTTTTTTTTTAGTATTTACATGAAAATAATGTAGACTACAAGACAATTGAAGATCACCTATATAATCAAACAGTTTTACCAAATGACATCATCGAAAAGTTAATATTTTCATCTCAATTGACACTCCAACAAAATAATGTTAAAAATTGGTTAATTGAATGGCTTGAAAGTCAAAATTGTAATAACATCAGACAATTTAGTAAACTTTGTACTGGGACATATAATCCTCGAACTTCAATAACAGTTAGTATAATTTATTGCTATATAAATTCTTAAGTTTTATAAAATAATTTCTTTTAATTAATAATGAATTCACCTTAGGTCTACTTCACAAACTATGAAACAGAAGACGACTTAGTACCAAAATTCAAAGTGTGTTCTACATCACTTTATCTTACAGCTGAATATCATTCTAAAGAATTTTTTTTTTCCATAATTGATAATATAATGAACTTAAAAATAGAAGGTTTTACATTAATTTGATTTTAATTTCATAGAGTATAAAATTTCTTTAAATTTTAGTTAATTGGGTTTTTTTTATCTGGGTATTTTTTAGAATAATTTTTTTTAGTCATTTGATTGAATATTTTTTCTTATTTTTATCGTTTTAATTCATATTTCAAATTGCTGTGCTTACTATGATATTGATTATATACATAGCTCAATGATCTTTTGTTCATTATAAACAATAATCTTTTAAATAATAATAAAAAATCATTTAAATTGAAGTCATTTGTTATTCAAATTTTAAAAGTTTGCTTAAAGGAAAATTCAAATCTGAATATCAATAACATTTTGTGTAATAACAAACTTCCACTATGCTGGTCTGAAAAGCATAGTGGAAATTCTATTTTTGATCAACATTTGCAATTATCATATTTACATTTTAAATTAGAGTTTTTTTGTATTTTTCTTTTTTACATGATGTACAAATATATGTATTCAAATTCATTTATTTAAAATTTGTGATCTTACATATCTTTTGATACATAATAGTAAAGCTTTATACTACTAATATAATGCTTTCCCATTATTGAAGAAATAAAATATGCATATTTGTATATACAGTGTTGTCAAAATTAATTTAGCTTTGACTCAATTCCTAAATCTCAATTTTTAATTGCATCTGACTCAACTATTTATTATGTTTTCAGATGACTCATGTAAACATTCAAATGTTTAAATGGTTTATTAAACGAATTAAGTAATTTAATGTTGTAAAATTACAAGTTATCTTTTATTCACTTAAATTTATATCCTTTTTTATAAGGAATATGCAAGATTGATAAATATAAATAATATTATAAGGAATATGCAAGATTGATAAATATAAATAATAATATAAACTAATACAATTAATAATATAAACTAATATAATAACCTTAATAAACTTATCAATCTATCTGGATGAGCATGGTGGACATTCGTATAATTGGTAATGATTTTCGTCGATCATATCACACAAAAAAGAAAATTTGATTGGC